AAATGAAATGCTCAAACAAATTGAAATTGAAAGAAAGTCGAATGCAAATTTGTGCGTAGCAGGTGAGCAAATGGGAAGAGCCGAAGGCGAAGAGGAAGCCGCCACAAGCATTGGCTAGATAAACAAGCCAAACGAGAAGATGCGGGCTTTCAGAATACAGAATACTATATAGGAGATCGCGGGGGGAGAAGCGGGGGGAGGGGAAGTGCTATTTGTTTAAGTTGGCTTTAACAGCTTGCGGACGTTCGCCGTTAGTTGACCTGGTTAACTGTCAGTTGAATGAGCGATAGAGGAACGGGGCGGGGCGGGGCGGAGGCTTATACTCGTGGTACTCGGCCACAATTTGAATGCTCAAAATTTTCAACTGCCAGATGGCAAAAGGTCACAACCCTCCGCGCTGAACCCACACACAACAACAACAACAAGAAAAGCCAAGTATCAGCGCATGGAAAACAACGCACGTACTTAGGAAAGATGATCAAAGGCTCTCGTCGGGATTCGGGGGAGGCGTATTGGCAACGGGGCGGGGCATGGGCGGGGGCAGGGGCAGGAGGCGTGGTCGGGCACTGTCATTAGCCGGCCCTCAAACCGCTGGAGATGATCATACGATAATGCTGTTTGCTCAATTCACTTCTCCCCATAATCGTTTACTACACAGCAGAATAAACCGAAGCTCTTTTAATCTTTATCCACTGCACTAAGGTTGTAATTGTATCTAGCATAGAGGTATTTTTCTCCGTGTAGCTTTATCCCACCTCTCTCACTTGGTTGCATGTTAATAACGCAGAATTGCAGGCTGCAACATCAGCAACATTGCCACGAAAAAAAACGCATTGGAATGCCAACAATGGCAACTTGGGCCTATTATATTCCAATGGACCCCACGTCTGTCGCATTAGCCGATTTTGTCGGTTTAGTTGCGGCTTGTTATACGCCTAAAAACCTCCCATTTCTGCCCACTGCCCCCTGCTTGGTCTTTCCTTCTGGTGCGTGGCTTATTGGATTTGTTTTGCCCATGATTTGCTCAGCCATGAGATGAGTGCTAATGACGATGCCCTACGGTTTCCCCTGTAATTGACCTCTTCTTTGACGACTCTATCTTTGCCGCAATCTATCTCTTTCATCGCAACTTTCATTGTCATTCCAACGAGGGAACCTGACTCTAGACCTAACGAACATCTTGGTAGATATAGTTAACATAACATGAAGGCATCTCCTATCGATTTAACATATCGATAATAATTAATCGAATTAATCGTCGACTTTCTGGAATGGATGTTTCGGCTCTTTTCCAATGCCATCGATTCTATACCTATATTCTATATACATAATACATTCAATATACATAACATGAAGGTATCTCCTATCGATTTAACATATCGATTATAATCAATCGAATTAATCGTCGACTTTCTGGAATGGATGTTTCGGCTCTTTCCCAATGCCATCGATTCTATATATTCTATATACATAATACATTCTATATACATAATACATTCTATATACATAATACATTCTATATACATAACATGAAGGTATCTCCTATCGATTATAATCAATCGAATTAATCGTCGATTTTCTGGAATAGATGTTTCGGCCATCGATTCTCTATCCTATGGGATCGATCGAGGCTTCCTGCCTGGGTGAAACTTTTCCACTTTTCGCTCAGGTGTCGAATGGCTTAGCTGTGCGATTGAGAAAGTGCGTTGTGTGTGAATAACTCTCCTCCTCCTGCCAGTGTGGCAATGTTCCAGCCTTCTGTTCCCCCAAACGTCGTCGTCATCGACCAGGTTCTTCCGCCAAATCACACTCAATTGCGGTAGGAGAAGTTGGTTGGCTGGAGAGTCTGAGCATGAAATGCTGCGATCGAGAAGTGGGAGCCCGACTCGGGAAAGCGGTCACATGGAAGTAGGCCAAGTTCTGGCCAACACACATACTTGAGTGTACATACAGACACGTCGCCAGTGGCGGTTTGGGAATGGGATTGGGTTTTGGTTTTGACTTTGGCTTTGGCTCTGGTGGTATTAGAAGCCATGTCAAAGATTCCGCCGTTTGGGCCTGAATTTTAGCTGCGATCTCTCGGACTGGGGCATGCAAATCCGTTCAAATGCTGCAATTGGATGTGGGTCAGGCGGATATTCCATTCGGTTGGGTCCACTTGGGTCCGCCGATCCGCCGATCCGCCGATCTTGGACACTTGCTCCCCCGGTTCCTTTTCCACTTGAGGTTGAGGTTGGGGCCGAGGTGTTTGCTGGAAGTTGGTTAAATCAAACCAGTTCCCATAGCCACAGCATCTCTCTTTCGCTCTTCCCTGTGCATTTCTCTCTGCACAGAACATGAAGTTTCGGATACATTTCAATGACATTAACAAGCCTGTAAACTAAACCCTAAAAGTGTTCGCTTCTTTTCTCTAAGCTTTTACGACTATTAATAACAATGCGATGAATATCGGGGAGCGGCGACGATATACAAGATATACAAGTGTTTTATGCTGTCAAATTATTTGTATATCCAGTTTTTGCCTCGGTATGTCTCTCGATTGTCACTGCTCCTTCTCTTTCGCAAACGAGAAAATGGGTTCTGCGGTTACTCGGTTTGGTTTCCTTCTCTACTGCGACTGGCTTTTTATGTCGGCTGGTAGTAATCATAATGATGAGAATGGAATCCCGCGTATTTATGCCAGGCATTAATCGGTTATAGGTGCCACAAAGCTGTTCACCGACACCAATTGAAGAGCAACTAGCTGCTTAGAGAGGAGAACTGGACGTGTAACCGGGCCTCGCTCCAAGTGTAAACCATAAATCTGCACTTTTATTTGCTACCTTTCAGTCCAGCTTCGCCATGTTTATTGCCTGTAATTTCTCCAGCCTTGCGGTTTAATTTATCAGATGCTTACGCTTGAGTTGCCCTCATTAATCGATCGATTTAACGAGCTATTAGCGACTTTTATTTTGTTTTTTTTTACTTAATTTTACACTTGGACATCGTATAGTTGGCAATTGTGTAATCGCTCAACGAGTTCTGTTGCCATTTTTTTTTTTCTTTGAAAATTATTTACCAATTCGTATGACGTTGATACAGTGGCGGATCCACGGGGGGGGAAATTAGGGAAATTTCCCCCCCCTTGGAACCACAGAACCTGAAAATTTTACTTGTTTGCTATGGTTGACTTTTCAAATATAACCACTTTGTTTACCAAAAAATTGGGATGGATAATTTTTGTTTTATAATTTGTACTGTATTTCTCTCGCAATAATAAGTTTGAACCCCAAATCGAAGAATAAGTTCAATTTTCCCCCCCCAAGAATCGTCTCTGGATCCGCCACTGGTTGATACCACTTTCGTGTTGCTTTAACGACTTTTTCGATACACAGGAAATGGGTTTTATCGCTACTCACTATCGTTTTTCTTTGGACAATCACGTGCCTATTGATCTGATTCTGTCAGCGATTTCCTAGACACTTTACTTTTGCTGCTCCAGTTTATCCAATTTTCACCTCAACTATTCGGCTTTCGTTATTCGTTTTTCGTTGTTCGGTTTTTGTGTGCTAATTGCCCAACTACATTTTCAAGCTTTCCGGCTTCTTGTCTTTGCATTTTCGTTCACTTTTTGTCGAATGTGGAGCGACCTAACCCAAGCCCAAGAGTGCTCATTATGCACGGTGCAGTGCCAACTGGGATATATATGCCCTCTCTACCCCTCTATCCCCCGCGAAACCCCGAAACGTGCCTTGTCAAAAGGTTTCAACTTTTTCTCCCCACATTTGTCGCTTGAGAACTTTTCATTTTCATTTCTCTCGGACGACGACGACGGCGGCGGTGAGGAGCAGAAATTTATTATGCTCATCGCTGTTGGCACGACCTAAGACAATCTGGCCCACAGAAGACCTGTGTACCAAATTTCCAGCCGAGAAACCACCTCATTCACATGCCACTCAGGCACTCCGCTGACTTGGACTTGGACTTGTGTACTGTGGATTTGGCATCGGACATGGCCAGAGGTGGAGAGTTGGCGAGGTGGAGTGGCATCGGAGTGGAGGTGGTGGAGCAGCGGAGATCGTGGCACGCTGACATGTGACTGCGATCCCCACAAGCTATGACTATGACTATGGGCACAGTGGCTCACGGTAACCAAATATCATCAAATATCCAACAGAAGATCACACATAACTGCAAGGTTAAAAATGATTCAGGTTTAATTGTGTAAGAAGGGTTCCAATCAGCAATATTTAACATTCCCTCTCCAATATTTTATTGATTTTTTTTACAAGGAAATAAGAGCCAATTCACTGAACCCAGCTAGCCACTATTGTTGTTGTCATAACAACACAGGCCAAATGAATTTGGCCAGCGGGAGCACCAACAATTGGCGATTGGCAGCCTCAAGAATGGAGGAAAAGGAAGCCTCGAAACCAATGGACAATGGAAATCACCCTCCGCCCATTTTATTTATCACTTTTGTGGAGAAGTTCGAGAATTCTTGACTTTGAGTCCGCCTGTGGCACACAAGCACACATCGAAAACTAAAAAAAAAAAAAAACATATAAACTATAAGCTATAGATATACCGACATGCATGTTTCGTTCGGGATTCGTGAAAACGTGCCCGACATGCCGAGAATTCAATAAATAAAATAAAGTAAGTTCGGTGAAAGCGAGAACTTCGGAGGGGCGGCAAAGGGGGCGTTGCAGAAGCAGAAGTCGTGTTGCTGCTAATGGCTTCCCCTTTTGCCCCCCCGAAAACCACCCAGCCATCCGATTTCCCATGGATCTCCTCTTTTTCTATTTATTTTGTTTTTATGGCAAGAACGCGCCTCACGCCTCGACAGAAAACAAAAAAATATATAAACTTGCTATCATAAATCAATCAATGAGAAAACTAAAAACCAAGAAAAGAATCGGAGGAAGCGGTCCACGAAAAAACGGAGATCATCGGGCTAATTAGAAAAGAAGCCAACGAAAGCAAAATTTCTTGTTTAGGTCAAACCAATTTTTGCTTACCTGATTTGCTTTCGATTTCTTTTGGTTGCCAAACGTCGTCTTCTTCTGAAAGTACAAACAGAAAATAATAATGAGCAAATTTGTATGTGCGTTGCTTGGGCAAACAATAGAAAACAGAAAACAATTTGATAAATGAGCCAAAAGAAATGTTGGCACTTCGTTTGCTTAATTTTAAGGAGGTAATAAAATGTCCATAAAAACGTTGCCAGAATAAGAGAGTTTCGAAAACATTTGGATATACTATATATATATATAGATAATAAGAAACCCGCATCTGGTTAAATTACCGTAACAGAATGACACAGGGCGCGTTTTTTATGGCAAAGGGGGCGGGTATTTAGTATTTGGGTTGCTTATGGGGGTAAAAAAAAAACATTCTGACCGTGACAAAGATAAAATGCAGAAAACAAAAGAGTAGAAAATAAAGTCAGGGGAAGAAAGATCAGAAAAAATGAGTGAAAGTTAAGTGCTTTACATGGACCATCTTTGAGATGCATTTATTATTAGTAAGTTACCATTGAAATATATGAAGATAAGGCAGTAAGAAAGTAAAGGCACCTACGTATTAATGAGTCGTTATAAAGAGGTATTGTTTAAGTGTGTTCCTAGATCCGAACTTCTTTGGATTCCCACCAGTTCGAATAACATTTTGTGGTTCGCAGCAATCATAATCTTTGGCGGCTTCTTCGTGAACCCATTTACTCCAGACTCATCTCTCATCTCTCTCTATAAACAAAGCCCATCAATCTTGTGATCTAATCAAAACCCACCGATCGAAGCTCGTAGATCACACTAAATTTTTGTGGTTAGCTGCAGTTTCCTACCCGAAGTCTATATCTATTCAGTTCTAACGGTACGTCGCAGCTCATCCATAACGTCGTTTTTTTTTTCTCTAACACTTTTTCGATTGTTCCATCAGAGAAAAGAAAAAAAAAAAAAAAAACGAAACTGAATTGCGTTCGCTCTGCATAAATTGCGGTCCAGGAAAGTCTCCCTCTGGCCAATCTTTTTGGCCACTTTGCAACTCTTTATAATAAACAAAAAGCAAAAAAAAAAAAAAAAAAAGAGCAGTGCAAAACCGAAAGAAAAGAAAAATATGTTATGCATGGCAATTTTCCATTTTGAGGCCTCCGACTTTGTCTAATGCCATGTATTATCCGAGGAGAGGCGAAAAAAAAAAAAAAACAGAATAAGCCGAGTGTCCAGAAGGCCAGCTCCATTGTCTGTTCATAGTTTTTTTTTTTTTTTTTTTCTTCTTTTGTGGGCAGGGCGCTAGCCAAAAGTGAAATATTTCAAACACCAAGTCGTGTCGCATTCCCAGCGATCTCTGGCCCCCTCAACCAGAAGAACTTGTATCTTGAAGATGCAGATTGCCATTGCCTTTTTCTAGGCTGCTAGGCTGCCAGGCTGCCTTCTTCTGGCGTGTTTGCAGTGTCATCTTTGGTTGAGTAAACAGAGCAGCACAAATGGAGAAAGGGTTGCCGCCGGGCTGAGGCGTCTTCTTCTGGCCAGTGCAGATTTGCATTCGCCCCGCAGACGGATCTTCTTTTGTTCGGCCTTCTCACATATGCAGATCTCCCGGCAAGATTTAATGGTCACACACAACGGATATGGATATGGACTGGCTGGCTGGCCAGCTGGCTGGTTAGACGCTCACAAGGAAGACGGTTCTCTGCTTATCCATTCTAATCAATTCAATTACACTCCAAGTCCTTCAGGTAATTGCAATGGCGGAGATAAGGTCACAAAGTTGAGGACATGAAGTATATCTATACATGAAGTATATATATATATATGAAGTATTTATAGAAAGAGATCTCTAAAACAGAAGTGATTCACACTCACATATCTTATGTATCTAAGAATAGACAACAATTATCTTAATATCGTCAGATGTTACTCCTATGCGAATATATATTTTAAGGGCCTCCCCTGATCCTTGCTACCACAGGCCATGGCCATTCTGTTCCAGATCCCCCAAATTCCCCATGGACTTGGTCTGATCTTTGCGCTGTCCAAGCGATGTATTTGTATTTGCCTTGGTCTCCTTGGTCTTTCCTTCTGCTGGCTGCTGTTGATTTTTTTGGCCATTAAATTCGAGCAGCGACGACATTACCCAAATGGCTGACATGCCCGGGACATTGATGATGTGGCTGTTGTGGACCCCAGGATCCACAATCCAGAATCCAGCATCCAGAGTCCAGAATCTAGAATCCGCAATCCAGAATTCAGAGCCCCCAGACCAAAAGTTCTCCTTGGGGATCGCTTGTGCGATCTCTTAGTTGCTCGGTTGTTCAGTTGTTCGTTTGGTTGTTCGGTTGTTTTGGCTTGTTCTAATTGTTGTTTTACCTCGTTTCGTTTGGCGTTTGCGTGTGTGATGGGCTGCTACATATATACACGATATACGTATGCCTATGCCTACAGAGTGCCCAGTGCCTAGTGCCAGTATGGATCTCCCTGCTGCTCCTCCGTTCGGTTCGGTTCGGTTTGGGTGTTTAACTGCGATTTGAGTCACGTTTCATTACTCGTGATGCCAGACAGTAATCACTTGATTTCCAAAGCGGCTTTCTTGTTCGGAAGGAGTTGCTAGTTGCTAGTTGCTGGTGGCTCTTGCTGTTGCTGTTGCTGTTGCTCTTGGTGTGGCTGCTGCTGTTGCTCTTTCGCTGCTCTTGCTGCTGTTGCCGCTGTCACAGACCAGATCAGACACGAAAAGCTGGCCAACTGGCTGGCCAACAGACCTTGGCCAAAAAGGTGCTACCAAAAGCGGCAGCGAAATGGCACACAAATCTTGTTAGGCAACTACAACAGCAACAGCAACAGCTACACGGCTTTTTTAGGGGTCATAAATAGAGCTTTGCACTTACGCTGCACGGCTAAAAAATTAGACTGGCATTTTCAAATATTTTTGATGAATGCTCTTTTTACTTTGCACTCGAGCAGCAATTAACCAATGCATTGAGATTTGTCTGCAGCCTTAGAAAAGTGCAGTATGACTTTGTTGGCACTCAAATGTCAAGTGTTTCTCGCAGTGCCACGTGACTCACGAGTTCGTGCCCTCGAAGGATTTGGAGTTGCCAATGGCCAGTTGCTTCTAATTTGGTTTTTATGCTTTGATCTCGTGACGCTTGTCATTGCGGCCACTCGCACATAAAGCGAGCCAGATAAAAGAGTGGCAAAGGAGGCTTTCTGAAGGGGAAAAAGGAGGAAGAGGAGGAGGAGGGGGGGGAGGAGGAGGAGGGGGGGGAGGAAGAGGAGGAGCAGGAGGAGGAGGAGCAGGAGGAGGAGGAGCAGGAGGAGGAGGGGGGAGGAGGTGGATAAGAGGTGGCCACGAGGATGGGGGCCAAATTGCCTGCGACGCCAGCGATAATCAATTAACCTGGCTCACTGGGCAGTCGCCTTCGGATGTGGCCGAGATGTTGCTGTTGCCGTTGCTGTTGCTGTTGCCGCGGTCCATGTTGCATGTTGCATGCTGCTGCGGGGATAACCAATGGATTCGCCGCTGGATTCGCCTCCTCCTCCCCACGAAGCTCGGCCCGTTGATGAAGTTTTCCGCTGACTTTGATTGCGGTTAAATTTTCATAGCCACATTTTTCCCGACCAGGAATTTTTTTTCAATTTTCCTTTTTTTGCGGTTAACCTCAAATTGAGGCCCACAAGTTCCGCAATTGCTATTTACGGGAAAACCAAAGAAACATTTGAATTTCCTACGCGAGAACGCCACACGTACTCAAAAATTGTGTAAGTTTTTTGTAATTATAGAAATCATCACATTGCTGAAAAGTTTAGCTAAATTTAACAAAAAATTTCTGGCCGTATTAAACACACAAACTTGTTATCTAAGCCAGGCAATTTTCCATTTCCTTTTGGAGAAAATCGTTAAGTAGATATAAATTGTTGGCAGTTTGTTCGACGATAAAGCGATTAAAAGTCCTAAATTATTTGTGGGCGTATCGTCGGTGGGCGATTTTCCATCGCGTGCGACATTTGACTTGGTTTTCGGCTCGACTCCTTTTCCGAGACAAGCTCTAGTGGTTATTTTTCCCAGCTTTTCCACTCTCTTCATCTGATTTTACATGGCACGTACCGCAGATTTGTTTTTCGGTTTTTGTTTTTAACAATTTTGTGTAGTTGTTTGGTTTTGCTTTGTTTTTGGGCAGAGAGTGAAGAAGGAAAGGCTTCGGAGGCCCGAAAAAAATAAACGGCAGCTGGCCAAAGCCAATTCATCCGAGTTGGCCTCCACTCTTAAGTAGGTTAATTTTGACCGGTTTGTCTTCTCTGTTGTCGCCATCTCGTTTCAACCAAGAGGAGCAGCAACTTCTCCTTCTCCAACTTGGCGTCCGTGGTGTCTGATGTTCCTGATTGACTGGCGACTTGGGACTGCGGCATTTGCCTGATTAACCCGAGTTTCAGCTGCTTTAATGAGGCAGCCACATGTCGCCTGCCTGCCTTCCTTTCCCCCCTTGGATTTTCCTTTAACAACTCTTGATTTACCATCCACTTCATTAGAAAGATCCTATTGTGCATTTCAGAAACATGTCAAGTTTGTTAAATAGAAGCTGCATCTGGCCCAAAGTCACCTTTTATCATCTAGTTAAGTGTTCTGTACAACTATATTAACAGACATTAAAAGTTAGGATCCCCTTTGAGGATTCAAATAGTAAGTTTGAGAAGATTTTTTTTTTTTTTGAAGCCAGCAGGCATTTCTCTTTTCCTTATGAACAGAAACGCGAGTTTCTGATCTTTTTTCACGCTTAAGCGAGGGAGACAGTTGGCAAAGACTGGCTCGAAGACCCGCTTCTCTTGATAAGCCTTATTTAAGATCTGCGGCAATTTCTTCTTTCAATTTCAGCTTGATGACGCTTGTAATGATGTTGCACATAGCGATCATCGTAATCATCATGATCGAGTTGGTCAGCACAGCGTGGAAATGGAACAGATTGGAACGGAGCGGAGCAGAGCGGAGCGTTTGTCGCCATGAAATCATGTTAGAAATTTGAGACAAATTTCTTTGTCGTTTGCTTTCAAATTGCTTTTGGCCATTTTGT